CACACACACACACACACACACACACACACACACACACACACACACACACACACCTCTTTGTATTCCTGGGTTGTGAATTAAACAGATTAGAAACCATTTATTCAGTAAATATGCAAATATCTTTGTTTACCTAGATTTTATCAAATAGACCATTCAAACTTCTGCTGATTTTAAAGAACATTGACTGTTATTAATTTGTTCGTGGTACTGGGAGCAATAACACGCTTTACATTTTATGTGAAACTGCAATGTAACTGTAGAGAGTTTATTCATGTAACGTCATTTTTAAAATTGCAAATTGTGTTACTAAATTCAAATGTCTAGATAACTTTCATTTCATACTTTGGGATGTGTTGTAGAAGGTGAAATAATAATAATATTAATAATAATGAAACAAATCAAACACAAAACAACAAAAACCCTTCAGAGGAAAAGAGTAGTGCACAGAAACAATCTGAAGTAATGGGAAGTAGACAAAAGAGTGAAGAAAAGAAAGAGGAATGCTAAGCAGAACTGGCAGAAGTAGATAGATATTCGTATTCACCTGTCTTCAGCAAATCAAGAAATTCACGTTTTCTCTGGAAAATGTGAAGTAGAGCTTTAAACTGAATGTCTCCGTTGAGGAACTTTTCTGATACAGATTTGAATGCTGAAGCCCCCAAAGCTATCATGGTTTGTGCTTCATCTGAAAATGATTCAACCAATCCCTCTCTAGCACCTGGAAAACGAGTACAAAAACCCAAACACATTTTACTGACTTTTTAGATAAAATAAAATGAAAGTCTGTTTATGGCTTTCTACATTTATTTTCTAAAATTTGTTAAATAGATATACTACACAAATAACACATCCAGCCTTACAAACCCACAGCCTGGCATTTACGTTCACATATTTATGTAAAATATAATATAAACATGAAATGGGCACTACACAGAAATGTGCAATTAATATTATGCTAGAGAGTAACAATAATCTAGACATTAATAAAGAGTAGTAGTACATTTTTTTTCAATTTTAAAGTTTACCTGCCAACTGGAAGATAGTTTTGGCCATGGGCCAGTTCATAAGATACTCAAATATTGAGTCTTCGCCTTGAATGTACTCTCCATTGACTTTGGGCCATGACTCCACCACAACAACAGACATGAGCTTCAGAAACTTTGTGATATTATGTATTTTCAAAAGCTTCAACACCCCTTCACCAGATTTATCCTAAGCAGAAAAAAGGGAATAGGTTAATGTGTGTGTGTGTTAATATGAATTTATAACTTTTTCTATTAACCCCCCCCCTCT